TGAAGAAACAGCTTCAAAGGAAAGACTATTAAGCATACAGGATAACTATCATAACATGTAACTTTTAATTGTCTCTTCCGCTATAAAAGATACTAGTAGGAGATGTACAGAAGTCAGAATGACACCTGTAATGAAGCAGCATCAATTTCCTCACCTGGATGTTTTCACTGTCAATATGTAGAAAATCTTTTATGAAATGAAAACATATCATATTAAGTGATGGGGCAGGTCAACAGCTCCTTCCTAGAAGACTAAGTATAAGAAAAACTTACAACTTTCACATAACTTTTAACTCAAAAAAAAAAAAAAAAAAAAAAAAGGAAAGAAAAGAAAAGAAAAATCAAAGGAAGAAATTAAAAAATTCATACCTGAAGTGTGGTTACATGTTTCCATGTAGTATGTTCCTCTCACGTGCTGATTAACAAGTAGACAAATACAGCAAAAAAGATTCAACAGCTCATCTGACCAGCTAACCCTAGCCGTTCTGTACTCTACACAGCAGCATCAGAACACACAACCTTTTCAACTATACACTGGTAAAAATAAAAATATTATGAGGCAATTCTGGACTCGTATATACAGTGAAGTCATTCAGAGTAATTGCCATGAATACAAATGCACTTAAGAAACACATAGCACCAGTCAATGGAACAAAGAAGAAACTGAAATCTACATTAAAAACTCTCTATAAAAATATTTAAACAGAAAAAAAAAATATATATATATATAAACAGCCGGATGCAGTGGCACATGCCCATGCCTGTAATCCCAGCACTCAGGGAGGTCTACAAAGTGAGTCTAGGACAGCCATGGCTACACAGAGAAATCCTGTCTTGGAAAAACAACAACAAACTTATTTAAAAAGAATGAAGAAAATTAACAAAAAATGATGAATATATTATTAACTATTTATTCTCAAGAAGGTAGAAAAAACAAATTAAGATACAAAATAGAAGACAAAAGATAAAAGTAGAAATTAATGAAAACACACTAAAGAGGCTTAGCAAAAACCTGTATTTTAAACTCTTAACAACAATGGCAAACAGAGATAGCCAGTATAAGAAAAGAAAAGAAAAAAAAAAAAAAAAAAAGCTAATGCCACAACAGGATCTCACCATGTTGACTTAGAATAAACAAAATTTTTAAAAAGCACTGTCTCAAAACTGACACCAGAAAAAAAAAAAAAAAAAAAAAAAAAAAAACAGTATAGTCATATGCATTAAACAAATGGAACTAGTAATAAAAACTACCATCCATGACAATTTCATTAATGGGTTCTACCAAATGTACAAAACTAATTCTAAATCTTCACAGACTACCAATACTTTCATCAAGTCAGTTCAAGATTGGAAAATTACAAGTGAACACTTCCCATAAGCACAGTTGCAAGAATCTTTAAGTATCTGGCAGCCACATCAGCACAGGCTACCATGAATGAAGGATGTAGAGTGCAATCTCTACAACACGCACAATAAGTTTCCCTCCTTTCCCACTTTGGTACCTTAGCTAGATAGGTTGCCTCCTTTGGTAACAACAGGAAACTTAGGTCCTTCATGCCTGTCTTCTCTTCTAGCTACTATTAGCCCAACCCACTTGCTTTGTTCAAGCTAACCCAGATCTGCTAATGGCCAGATCTCCCTGAGAATTTTTTGTCTGAATGATTAATAAACCTTTCAAATTCTCTTGGTGTGAAGAAAACAATAATTATTAATATGAATCCATCTCGTTTCTGCCAGGGTAACCAATCAACCATGAAAAAAACATAAAGATGTCTGTAAGGGGGATGGGAGAGATTTCAGTGGTTGAAACACCTACTGATCTGCCAGAGGACCCAGAGGTTCACAGCACCTACGTGGTTCACACCTATCTGCAACTCCAGGGATCCGGCACCTTTTTTGTGGGCACTGTATACACATGGTAGAAGTGGGTTGCTAGGGAGTGGGTATTGGCAGTTGTAGCCACGCCCACTTCTGGCCCAAGTCTCTCTTCTCCCTGGTCTATGGAGATAGAACAAGGGCCCTCAAATATTCCCGAAGTCATAATTCCAGCCACTTCAGTCATTTGTCTTCCCACCATGATGAACAGTATATTTACAGCCCAGCTAAAACAAACCTCTAACCCTGATGATGTTTCTCTCTAAGAAGTATTGCTCCTCTTCTGATCATTTATTTCTCTTTTTAATTATTTAAATCTGTATAGACTCAGGAATATCTCTTTCATACTTCGGTTTGTAAATCAGCACTTAAGTTATTCAGTTCCTGAGAGTGATTTCAGAGCTTTGCCCCTGACTCCCACTCTAGGCTGGAATCAACCATTTCTCCAAAACAAAACAAACAACAACTTTTTTTTTTTTCTTATGGAGCACAGTGTTTAAACTATTTACAAGATGTAAGATATATCTGTCTCTGCAACCACAATGCTGGGATTACACATGCCCAACCCGAGGTCTGGCTTTTTCTAGTCTACGGGTACTAGAGCTCGAACTCAGCTCTTTGTGCTTTCAGGGCACTTTTCTAGCAGCTCTAACCCTCCATAGACCACAAACACAATTCTCTAACTTTCAAGATTTAAAACTCAAAAAATTGAGTTAATGAGATTTATAAGTCTAAGCACTATAAACACTGACCATGAAGTTGACATTTAAACCTTGATGTGTACAATGAATACTGCACACAATTGCTATACCTTTAATTTCTAAACATGAAAATAAAATCCATCACTTCCTAGGAGGTCTAATATTCAACCCAGAGGTTGACACCTTATTTTTTTTTTTTTTTACCCAAATTTAGTCCTTAATCACTTCAGCTTTGTAAAGAACCTTTCAACTTCTCGATCCCTTCCTTCTATAACATCTCACTGGAGTGTCGAAGATATTAAATGATTTGCCCAAAATTATGGATGAAAGTAAGTTGTAATTAGTGTTCAAGAATGTACAAGACACACTATGCAGGGAAGCAAGTGCTTGCTTTGCTTCAGTGAACTGCTACTGGGCCATTCTTTTCCCACCAGTGTCATTTGGCACAAGGAACAATGATGTGTTAGTTTCCCGGACAATAAAATTAAGTTGTCTTGAAAACTAAATGAGATTGTGAACCAATGTCACTCATACCAGTAGATTTTGAATAAACACTTCCCCCTTCTCTTTCCCAAGCCTTCTCAACCATTAACACACAGGTAATTCTCTCTTTAGCGATAGAAGACTTATGTTGGTATAATGTTCTTTTGGAATGTAAACACCTTGCCCTTGTTCATTCAAATTCTGATTTTTCTCCCCCACTTCTCTCCCAGACATTGCATTGTGATACTTATTCTAAGCATCACCTGTCTCACCTTTGTGTAAACATGCCAAAATAAAACAACCAACGACAATGTTGAGCAATGGAGAGGAAGGAGTAGGAGGGAGAGAGAAGGAGCCAGAGGACAGGAAGGACTGGGAGGCAGAAGAGCAGAGAAGAGGGCAGAAATTGGGAGAGCAGAGGATGGAGGAGAGATCTCAGAGATGAACCAGACCTAAGATATCACTAAAAGCAAGTATAATGGGTAAAATCTAAACAGTAGGAAACTATGTGGGCTTGGAGGTTTAGGATGCAATAACTATTGCCCAGCATTGTGATCTAGGTTAATTAAATAAATCCCAGTCTCTGGGTGATGATTTGGTTATGAAGCTATTTAGGATTAACCACAGCTTTACTAAAAGACATTTCAATAGTAAATATTAAATGCCAAATACAACAGACTTATAAAGGTAAAACTATAATCAGTGATGAATTATTAATATTAGGCTGGTAAGACAAATCTAATTAGTCTGACCATGAATTTAGTTTCTATTCCTGTAATACAAGGTGAAGGAGGCTTCATATCCAGGAACATCATAATGAAACATATCACAGTTGGGCTGACTAAAGTGTTTATGTGCCAAAACAGTCAACACTATAAAGTTACGGGACTTTTTAAAATTTCTCTTTTAAATAATAAATATAATAGAAAAATCATGAGCTAGAAAGGGAGGAGAGAAATACATAGAAAACATGCAAGGAAATAAGGTTAATCATGACCATGAACTTAACTGGACTGAGAAATGACTGGATGTGTCTGAGGTATTTACAGAGTTAATTAGATCACGACAACTCTGATCTAAGAATAGCTTAAACTACTGATGGGTTCAAAATGAGAGGGCCAGGCATAGTGGCACATGCCCAGTGGCAGAGGCAGGTGGATCTTTGTTAGATTGAGGCCAGCCTGGTCTACAAAGTAAGTCTAGGACAGCCAAAGATGGAGACACAGAGAAGCCCTGTCTCAAAAAAACAAAACAAATGAACAAGAAAGGAAAAAAAAAAATGAGATGGTAGAACTATTCAAAATGAGAAATAGTTGGAGAAATTAGATCACTATGGGCATTTTTCCAAGGGTCTCCTCATCATCTTGTAGCCATGATTATGTTGAAGCAAACAAGTATCAGCTGACCCCTCTAAAACCATAACCAAAATAAATCTCTCCCCACTCATGTTACAACCTCTAAGGAAATCTTAAGTGCATCTCCAAAATAAATATAAATAGTAAGCCAGGCGTGGTGATGCACGCCCGTGATCCCAGTGCTTGAGAGGCATAGGCAGGCGGATCTCTGAGTTTGATGGCAGCCTGGTCTACACAGGGGGTCCAGGACAGCCTGTGATATACAAAGAAACACTGTCTGGGGTGGAGGGAAGGTGGTAAACTGTACCACTGGGTGACCAAAGGCTCTTTTCAACGTTTTCCATTTCTTACATCTGACATCACGTCTTGCAAAAAACTTTTCACATGTTCTATTATTTACATTACCTTCCTACACACATTTACTTACTTATATACGTCTTAAAAGAGTTCTACCAGACCAGTTAGATTCAATCTCCTATGAGGAAATCACACTGCCCTCACCCCCACCCTAAAGTCTTTCTGTTTGCTTAACTATTTAAAATCTTGTTACAAATTCCATCAGTTTGCCTGTTATCACAATGACTCACCCATCTGCAGATACTGGAGTCCCCTCTGGTTTGGAATATTCTTCCAAATCTGAAATGTTCACTTGTGTTTGCCTTGAGGTTACTATCTGGCTAGTCTGAGAAGTTTTGGCTTTCAAGTCCTGAAAAATAGTCTTACTATCTGGAAGAGAAGACTGTGTGACTTGCAAGTCCAGTGGAGATTTAGGTCCTAGAAAATCTAAAGATTCTTGATCCTGTGCTACAGGTTTACAGGTCAGTAATTTGGAGGTTGGTTCCAATGACCTTGAAGATATAATTCGCAGATCAGCATTACACTCACTATTAGTCCTTGTTTTAGAAGCAGGATCCAATGAATGAAACCTTTCATCTAAGGTTCCACTATCCAACTTGGAAGAAGTCTTGGGACAAAGAGTTATGCGAACACATGAAAGTGCTTTTCTATTTGATGGAGAACATGGATCTGTGCAGTGGTCAGGGGCTGACTGGGAGATATTACTGATCTTGGCTTCAATATTTACCATATTAGGAAAGTATGATTGAGGTATGTGCTCAATCTTTTCTACTGAGCAATCCTGACCTTGAGAAAGGGGGTACTGCTGTGTTCTCATGTGGCCATCTACATCTGGGGCATCACATTGCTGCTCATCAAGAAAATCAGGAGGAAGGTCTGCAACTATATAATCCTGGCACTTAGGAAAGAAAGAGAGGTCTTCTCTTATTTCATGATCTACATGTGGGGCTTTGCTTTGCTCAAAGAGTTCTCGTTGTTCAAGGAAAATGCAAGAAGGAAGATCAGGAGTTATAGTTACATTCTTCTCTTTTACCTCTAGTGTGGGACTTAGTTTGTCCTGGTTAATGATGGTATCCTTACCAGAAAACTGAACTCCCCTGAAACTGCTGTAATTTGTATTGACACAGGATTCAGAACGGCTGACTTTAAAATCTGATTTTTCTAAGAGTTCTTCTTTTTGATGGAAATGCTCAAAACCAAGAGGTAAATTTTGCCCTTGCCTACTACCTACAGTCACTGGTGAATGACTATGCCTTTTAAGTGATGAAGGGAAAAAGGTTTTCTGTTTAAGAGTTCTAGGAGAAATGTGCTCTTCAGGGATATGAGGCTTAAATACCCCTGAGGCTGACGGTCCAATACTCTGACTACCTGCAGTAACATCAACCTTAAAAACAGAGGGACTGGAAATGCACTTAGAGTGTACGTGAGAAGAAAAAGTGATGGAGGTAGTAAACTGCTTCTTGGGGTCAGGGGGCAGCATTTGTGATGAGGAAGGAAAATCCATTTCTTTAGCTGGCACACAAGTAGGTTCTACTAATCCTGATGGCTGGGAGTCCATGTTTGCATGGAATGACATTCCAAGACCCTTGCTAATTTTGATGTCACTGGGTGCAAGTTTTTGAAATGGGGAATGATTTTGTAACTGAAAGGAATTCCAAACTTTGAAATGGGAATTGCTCTGATCTATCGATCTGGAAAGGTTGATGTGCCTGCCTCTCCATGATGGTGGGCTCCGTTGTCCTCTAATCAAGTCTGCAGGTTCAACAGACCGGAAAACACAACGGCGGCTGTCTGGTCGTGGTTGTTCAGCAGTCAGAGTCCTGAAACATTCTTTCCCATGGCTCTCAATAACAATGTGACTACATACAGCTTCCGGCACACATCCTATTCCCCGTGGACTCTGCAAGCCCTAGAAAACAAAAATAGGTTCCCACTTAGAGTAACCCTAAAGTAACCCAATAGTCATATACTGATTAGTTTTATATCCAAGCTAAAAATGACCATTATGGTCATCTTATTTGTCTATAACACAGATCAAAGGAAGAGAAGGAAAAAAAAAGAAACTTCATATAATAAAATGGTTCATGATAATGAAGAACACTTAGGAAACTCTTTTAAAATTATTCTACTTGGGACTGGAGAGATGGCTCAGTAGTTAAGAGCTCTCGCTGCCCTTCCTGAGGGGCTATGTTCAGTTCCCAGTATTTACATCAGGCAAGTCACAACTATCTGTAAATTCAGCTCCAGGGATTCAATGCCTCTGGCCTCCAAGGGCACCTACATTCATGTACACATGCCTACATGTAGACACATATAATAAAAATAGCAGGGCGTGGAGATACAAGCCTTTAATTCTAGCACTCAGGAGGCAGAGGCAGGTGGATCTCTGTGTTGGAGGCCAGCCTGGTCTACAGAGCAAGTTCCAGGATAGCCACAGCTATGCAGAAAAACCCTGTCTTGAAAAACCAATAATGATGATGATGATGATGAAGATGACAAACACACACACAAGAACTCTGTGGATGTAGCTCAGTGGTAAAGTGCTCCCCTACCATGTTTAATGGTGTAGGTTTGATCCCCAGCATAACACACATACAAACAAACAAAGAGGGTAACACAGTTATGTCAATAAACAGAACATAAAGATGAGGAAAAAGAAAATTAAAACAATGTTCAACAACAAAAAACATTAGAAAATGTAAGTTAAAATCACAACAAATACTTGGGAGACAAGATCTCTGCAAGTTACAGGCTGGTCTACACAATGAGTTCCAGGACAGTCAGAGCTACATAGTAAGACCCTGTCTCAAAACAAAACAAAAACAACAACAACAACAACAAAAACCCCACCAAAATCAAAAAAACAAATTCACAGTAAAATGTTACTCTAGGGGCTGGACAGATGTTTTAGTGGTTAAGAGCACTTACTGCTCTTGCAGGGGACCCAGGTTCAATTCCCAGAACCCACATCAGACTAGCTCCAGGGGATACAACATTCTCTAGCCTCCATGGGCACCTGCATGCATATACACATAAACTCATACAGGTACATTCACATCTTATATGTTGTATTATATACATAGGTAGATATAATTTTTTGTTTTTTAACTTTTATTGATTACACTTTATTCACTTTGTATCCCCTATAAGCTATAGCATAATCTTTAAAGTCTTACTACAACCCTATCGGAATAGCTATGGTCACTTCTCCTTCAGTGATGTGGCTACCCCGAGCCCAAGGTGAGCTCACAGACACTGAAACGTCAGAAACAAATGCACACGCACATACACAGCAACATAAATGTCACAACTGTTTATAAAGCCTAAAATTGAGAACTCACTAAAATGTTCTCTACAAGTGAGTATTTAAACAAACTGTGGGCAACACAAAGATTAAGCTATTGATAAAAGTGACATCCCAATGAGTCTCTAAAGAATTGTCCTTAATTCAAATATTCTGAATAAAAAAGGTCAACATAAAAAGCTGCATGCTATATGACTTCATTTAATGACATTCTTGAGATTACAAAGTACAGAAAAGGGGACCAGAACAGGGGTTGGCAAATGTTCCAGAAGAGGTAGGAGGAGAGATGCATGGATGTAGCTATGACAGGGCAGCCTTAGTTTGTGAAAATCAGATTTTCGTATCCTGATTGTACTAAAGCCAACATCATGACTGGGGCAGATCGTGAAAACTTTGCAGGATACTAGCTTGGCATAGTGGTGCACACCTTCAATCACAGCACTTGAGAAGCGGAGGAAAGCAGGCACATCTCTGTCAACCTAAGGCCAGCCTGGTCTACAAAATGAGTTCCAGGGCAGCCAGACCCTGTCACAAACAAACAAAGATAACATAACAAAGCAAAACAAAAACTTTGTAGGACATGATCACTGAAGAAACTGGATGTAGCAGGACACATGCACTCTCTAGACTATTTCTGCATGTGATGGTACAACTTAAAACAATATTTGGGTTTTTTTTTTTTTTTTTAACTCAATTAAGTACACCAAGGTTGGTTTTGTTTGTTTGTTTGGTTTTTCGAGACAGGGTTTTTCTGTATAGCCTTGGCTGTCCTGGACTCACTTTGTAGGCTGGCCTTGAACTCACAGAGATCCACCTGCCTCTGCCTCCCTGGGTGCTGGGATTACAGGTGTGTGCCACTGCAACTGGCTAAGTTGCCATTTTTTAATCTGTGGCTTCTAATTACCCTGAAACCTCTAAACACATCACTGGGAAATCAATGCCCTAACTTGAAAAATAAAAATGTCCTCCAGTTTCAAAACTGGGAATCATTACCGACTGATAATCATGTAAAATGTGTTTCTCTTTCTCTTGGCCTACTTCCTCCTGTGGCTTCTTTTCATTACCACTCTATGGCCTACCTCTTCCTGTGGCAGCTTTCATGTTTCCATAATAAACAAATTTCATAGTGATCTTTTCACTTTAAAAGCTCTTTAGATTTCAGGATGGCAACATGACTTCCTGCCAAGCCTGACTCAGTTCAATGCCCGGAACCGACACGGTGGGAGAAAAAAAACAGACTCTTACAAGCTCTCCTCTGACCTTCACAGGCATGCTGTGGCACCCCCACAAAATGAATATATGTCAATTACTTCTAAATTCGTAATGCTTTAGTACCTGTCAAACATTATTTTTAAACTATTCTTCCTAAAATCTTATGATAAGCCAACATATTGACAGATATAAGAGGCTCTTTTTTTAAAAAGCTACTGTTAATGGCTAAGAAATGGTATCAAACTAAGTGTCCAATATGGATGGAGAAAAAAATGTGGTATATGTACAGAATGGAAAATTATCACTCATAAGGAATGAATACATCTGCTGATTCTTTTCTTTTCTACATATATGAGTGTTTTGCCTGCATGTATGTATGGGTAGCACATGCTGGTGACTTCGAGGGCCAGAAGACAATGTCAGATTCCTGGAACTGGCGTTATGGATAGTTGTGATTCTGGGTGCTGGGAACTGAACCCTGATCCTCTTCTAGGACAAATGCTCTTAAACACTGAGGCATTTCTCCAGCCCCGTATCATGTATATATAAAATTCAAAAGCATATTGAAGAGCAAGCAGAGAACCAATACATGTCAAGATAAGAAATAAAGACAAGGGTAGGAAAGGAGAGCCAAACAATGGCATCTGTGGAGGAGTATTGGTTTGGTTTGGTTTGGTTTTTGAAATGTAATCTTGCTAAATAGCCTAGGCTTTCTTTGAACTTGCCATCCTCTGTCCTTAGCCTCCAAATACAGGAATTAAAGTGCATGTTACCATATCCAGCTCAGTGGCATCTGTTAATGTTCTGTTTCTCAAGCTGGAGAGGAAACACCAGAATAAATTCTCTTTAGATAAGTGCTTTCATTCAAGAAAAAGTTCACTAAAGAAGAAAAATAAACCCTATTAAAAAGAAAGCTGAGCAGGGTGTGGCGACACACACCTGTGATCCCAGCACGCAGGAAGACAGAGGCAGTCGGATCTCTGTGAGTTTGAGGCCAGCCTGGTCTACAAAATGAGTCTAAAACAGCCAAGGCTACACAGAGAAACCCTGTCTCAAAAAAACAACCAAACAAACAAACAAAAACATAAAAAGAAAGCTGTTTGTGCATAAAACTACTTTATTCTTTAAAGAACATATACTTCTGAAACAACTTCCAACTTCTCAATTTAAGGAGGTAAAGGAGACATTTAATCTTTCAATTGTAAAAATGCATTGGCAAAACAACTCGATTCTTTTACTATAATAAATTTGGAATTAAATAAAAACTTACAGAATCTAGTCTGTCAATCTTAACTTTTAGAAAATTAAGACTCTAACACTTTACTCCAAGATTATCAGCAACTCATCTGGGGTCATCAATGCCAAGTAGGAGCTCTAATTTCTACTGCCCTTTCACAGTTTCAGTTTTCATTTCTAGGTTTCTTTTATACCTCAGACAAGTGAGTTGCTCTTCCATGACCAAACAACTTTGCCTTTATCTCTTCTACTTTCCTCCTGTCATCTTCATTTAATTCTGAAATGGAGTATCCATAATCACGTTCTAAATTAAGCTTTAAATTCCAGGCTGGAGAAAAATCACAAACAGTTGAGATTAAAAAACTGTGAAACTGGTAATTTTTCAATTGCTACACAAATTAATTTAAAAAAAAAAAAAAAAAAAAGGAAAGGAAAGCAAAGAAAAGAAAAACTCACCAATACCTGCCCCTTACTGTACAACAAAAAGCTGAGCATGTGGTCAAGTTATGTGACACATTAGTTCCTAAGAGGCAATTTCACTGAAAAGTCTACCCACCTGCCAGAACAGAGAATTACAGGTATGTGCCACCATACATAAACTAAAGTCTGGGTTTTTTTTTTTTTTTTAAACCAACCTCTACAGATATATCTCTAAAAGAAGCCACTCTACATATAGTATTTAAATCATTAATCTGAATTTTTCTTCTAATCAAAAAGTCTCTTTATCTCCCCTTGGTACCTGCTATAGTTACTAATGCTTCTATGATACCCAATACTTTAGGTTAACAAACAAAACTAGGGAGATGTTGACATAATCAAAATGTACAAGAAACAGCACAGGCAGTTAACCTCAAGATTCCAAACCAGTCCTGAACCACTTGTAAGTTAAAACCCAAAACACATTTCCTTATGTCTTAAAGATTGTTATATCTCTTTTACAAAGATTCTATAAGAGATTAAAGATATCCTCTTTTAGACACACACCTCTAACTAGTACTAAAAACCTTGATAAGTATTTTCCCTAGACCTTAGATCAGCTCCAAAAATTTCATTATAAAGCAAACAGAAAGCATATATAGCTTTAGTATACAAAATAACTTACAGAAGATCAAATTGAAAACATCTGTGTCCCCATAAACTCATACTAACACTACTGATCATATATTTTATTTAGAATTCCAAATGTCTCATTTTAAACTGCTAAGCTATAATGTTCACAACCACGAACACGCCTGTATGACAGCTAGTTCTTACCTCGGGCTTGGGCTCGGACCCGACACTCCTCCTCCTCTGCATTTTTAAGTATCTGTTTGGCTTGATTCAGTGAGGATTCGCACTGCAGAAGGTACTTCACATGTGCACCCAATGAATCTACACTACCACAGTAATCCTCACTCTCTGACAACCCCTCCTCTTCTCTGCTATCTGGTATGCTTGTCTTGGTTGAAGTATATGGAATGAAGTTTAGAAAAACATCAGAAACGGATTCTAAAGTCTCCGGTAAATTACTGTCCCATGAATAGCAACCATCACTTACGTCACTACTCGAGTCACTCTTTATGATTGTCATCATAGGGATAATAATTTTATTCCCAATGCCTGTTCTGTAACCTTCAGGTTCAGACCTCATTACAGACCTGGCAGCATCATACGGCCTGAAAGTTTCATCAAATGACACTCTAGCTGTGCCTTCTGCTTCCTGTAGAGGACTTCTAATTGTAGTTGAGCTAATAAACTCCCAATTTTCAACACCCCTCTGGCACATAAGGTTCGTCTGTGTGCCAATGTCCTTTTGTTCATACTCCACGTGTGGGGCTTCCTCTGTAAACAGCCCCCTTTGGGCACGAACATCAGTTGTGGGGGGTTCTTTGAAGCAAACCACCTTCTTGGATTGTATAAATGAAACATCGTTAACATCTCTGAAAGGGACTAAGGGAGCAGGGAAATTGCATCGTTTCAGTGCTATATTTTCTGCCTCCATTAAAAGAGTCCGAATTTCTTTAAGAGTTTTGGAACCAGGATCTATATCCCGGATTTCTTCATAGCCAACATCGCCAAAACCTGAAGATTCTGGCTTACACATGGTAACTCCATCATCAATTTGTGAATTTAAGGGTATACTGTTTGTATTGAGACAAGACTCAGGAGAATTCAAATGATCTATCAGCTTTTGGACATGTTCTGACACAACCTGGTGGTTTTCACTGTGTGAATAAGTACCAAAAGAAACTGTAGATGAACCCGAAATCTGGTCAGCTTGACCAAGGCCACTTGAAACCTTCAGAGAATCTTCAGTTAGATGTCTGTCTAACAGTTCTTGTGGGTAAAACGTATCCGACTCCTCTCTGTGAGAATAGTAACCGGACAGAGGGGCTGGTGAAGCTGTGCTTACAACAGTTGGTTCAGAGACAGTTGAAATCTTCGGAATATCTCCACTTTGATCTCTATCTGGTAACTGTTTTTGAACAATATTAACTGGTTTTACTTTTTCAGCGTAGGAATCATGAACAGCTGTTGGTACTGGAGTCTTTTGGTCATCTGGCCTGTTCACAGTTGAAACTGCAGGCTTCTCTCTATGTATGTAGAACCTATGAGTAACTGTTGGCGACACAGTATTCTGGTCCTGTGGATCTGCAACTGAAATATCCTTGTGTGAGTAGGAACCAAAGGAGATTGAAGATCTCCTATTCTGGTCAGATAGTTCAAGAATAGTTGAAGCCTTCAGAGAATTTTCAGTAGGGTTGTGATCTGATGAGGCCTTTGGGTAAAAATCAATGAACTTTTCTCTATGGACATAAGAACTAGAAGATCCTGTTGGTGTCCCAGGCGTCTGTGCTGAGTGCACAGAACCAGCTGATGCTTTGCCAGCCTCTTCTGTTAGATGGCTGGCCAGCAACTCCTGTGGAGATAAAGCACTGGCCTCTGTCTGTGGGTAGTAGCTTAAAGGTTCTGTCGGTTTCTCAGCCTTTTGGACAGCTGGTCCAGGATGAACAAAAGCATCTACTGCAGCTCTACCAGTATTTGGCAACTTCTGCTGATGAAAACCACTAAGCTTCTCTCTACTTGAGTGAGAGACTACCTGTGACCCCATCTTCTGATCAGTAGAGCCAGAGCCTGCTGCTTTCAAAGATATTTCAGTAAGATCTGCTAACTCCTGCTTGTAAGAGATGAGGGGCGTCTCATCATGTGAGTAAGAGACAGAAGGCACTACTCCAGGAACACCTAAAATTTGCAAGGCTTCTTCAGTAAGATCTGGTAAATCCTGCTGGTAAGAGACACTAGGCCTCTCTCTAAGTAAGGGAACAGAAGACACTATTGGTGTTTCAGTTTTCTGTGCAGTAGGTCTAACACCACCTAAAACTTTCAAAGCTTTTTCACTAAGATCTGGAACCTCTTGCTGGTAAGATATGGTAGGCTTCTCTCTGGATAAGTGGGAAGTAGAAGGTGGTGTTAGTATCCCAGTCTTGTGGTCAGTTGTTCCAGGAACAACTGAACCTTTCTTAGTGTTTTCAGTTAGATGACTATATGGCAACTCTTGGTGATAAGAAGCATTCTGGACTTTTTCATACTCTGGATTTGAGTATGGAAAAGAAGTGATGACAGGTGGCCCACTCTTCTCATCAGTTGGTCCAGAAGCAACCGAAGCTTTGTGACCTTCCTCAGTTAGTTGACTAGCTGACTGACGGTAGATAATAATGGGCTTTTCTCTAAAAGAATAGGAAGTAGAATATACTGATGGCTCCCCACTCTTCTGATCAGCTGGTCCTGCAGAAACTTCTGTAGGAAGATGACCATCTGACAAGGCCTGTTGGTAGAAAATAATGGACTTCTCTCTAACTCCAACTGCAAGGGAACTTGAAGGCCTTGCTGATATATCAGTCTTCTGCTTAGCTGATCCAGAAAAAGCTTCCACCTTTAACTTCTCTGCAGTTACAGGACTGTCTAGCAAACCAGGTTGATAGAAAATGAGGGGCTCCTGTCCAGTGGGGTAGGAACTTGAAGATATGGCTGATGTCGTAGTGTTCTGGGCAGATGAGCCAGGAGCAGCTGAAGCTTGCAGAATCTCCTCAGGTAAGGCTTGTTGGTAGAAAATAATGGGCTTCTCTCCAACTGGGTAGGAACCGAAGGGTCCTGCTGGTGTACCAGTCCTCTGCTCAGTTGGTGCAGAAATCCCTGGAACTTTGAAAGACTCTGTGGATAAAGGGTTACCTGGCAAGCCAGGCTGGTAAAAAATAATGGACTCTTCTGTGGGGGGGTAAGAACTAGGAGATACTGTTGATGCTCCAGTGCTCTGGTCAGGTGGTCTAGGAGCAGCTGAAACTTTCAGAGACTCTCCAGGCAAAAGACCACCTGGCAGGGCCTGTTGGTAGAGAATACTAGGTGTTTCTTTTGATGAACCAGAAGTAGAGGATACTGTTTGTGTCACTGTTTTCAGGTCTACTGATCCAGTTGTACCCGAGACTTTCTGGGTCTCTTCAGTTAGGTGGCTGTCTGGAAACTTCTGCTGATGAGAAATACTAGGCCTCTCTTTATATGAGTAGGAAGCAGAGGTTAGAGCTGACATACCAGATAGCTCATCAGGTGACTTAGAAGTTTTGAAAGCCTGATGACTCAAATAACTTTCTGGCAAAGCCTGGTGATAAAAGGTATGAGGCTTTTCTCCTTGTGAATGAGAAGTAGATGGCAGTGCAGTTATCCCAATGTTCTGGACAGGTGACACAGGAAGAGATAAACCTTGTGTAGACTCTTCACTTAAGTGATTCTCTGGCAACTCCTGTTGGTAGAAATCAGTGTATGTACCAGTAGAGGCTGAAGCTGGAACATCATACTTCTGGTCAGTCTGCCTAGGAGCAGATGAAGATTTTATAATGTCTTCAGGTAAATGACTGCTTGTCAAGGTCTGTTCATAGGAAACACCAGGCTTGTCACTTTGTAAGTAAGAAGTTACTGTTGGGAAGCTACTCTTCTGGTCACCCAGCCTAGGA